TGACGGCAAATCAAACTCGATTCGAAGTTTAACTCACCAAGGTTCCTACGCCCAGGCCGATATGAAATCCGCTGTCACCACAGGCGACTGTCAGTAGCGAATAAAGTTTCTTGCCGTCTCCCTCATACTTGTTATGAGTAAGATCAAGATCATAATGCTACTAAGCCATAAGTCGCAGTACGGTATATACGGCAAAAGATGTTTATATACGGGCACTCATTCCCACCGTTCATTTTAAGATTTCTTTGAAAAATCCAGAACGTCTTCAATATCTTTCTTACTGAAATATGAATCCTATGAAGACTATATGTAGAATATATCGAGACAGAATATAAGAGGAGTTATATGAGGAGACAGACAGAATACATTATAAAGACTTAAATATTCCTCATAATATTCAGAATCAGTGGAATACACTGAGTGATCTACTTATTCCCAACGTGCTGAATCCGATCGAGGACAACAAGAAAGTCGTGGACATGCTTTAAGGATTCCTGCGCACTGCTACCGGAGAGGCAGCAACCGGGTTACTCAAGCTTAAGAAAAATAACTCCGCGAACGCACGACCCCACATATTCACTCGAATCATCTCTGCCGGCTGAGTCAGTCAGCCCTCTCAGCGATTTTTGTACTACTATATTAAGGATATGCACGCGGTCACCGAATTTCCTGTTCCAGTTTCGCTTACTCCGCTGCAATCTCCCTAAAGGTCAACCACACAGGCTGTCGGGGAAACTACTACGAAGTTTACTTCAGGCCCGACTAGTACTATGTTAAAATGGAAGTAATTTCTCTCTTGTGGACCTGTGGACAACATGCGGAGCACACGTATATTTGGTGAATGGGCTGAGGACAGTGAACGTTGCCAGCTGGGAACACGTTATCATTAAAATGCGTGGTCACATTGCCAGCTATGTCGCAGAACATCCGGAGCACGCCCAACTGATAGTGGACCTTTTGCAACAGAATGTTGATATAATGGACACTCGAGCCGCCTATGCTGCTGTGGGGATTCTGAAAAATGGCCAGGAGTGGATGCCCGAGACTCCACACATTCCTGCGAACTCAGTTAGAGCCTATAGTAACGTTGGAGGAGCTTATCTTGACACCATTTCGAGCGCATAACAGGAAGGAGCTTGGATAGCCGGCTTTTTGTTGAAAGTTGATGGCAGAGTTGTGGCTACGGAGTGGAACCATAGTCTTCCATCGCCCCCAGCATGTTAAAATGGATGTAATTTTTCTTTTTTTGGTGTTTCGATGAGAGCAAAATTCAAATAGAGAGAGCTCGCATCGATCACGTGCCGATGCGCGGTTTCTCCCCAAAATTTAGGTATATAAGAGGCAAGCCTAGCAGAGGGATCGATTTGGATTTTGATTTGAGGTTGAGTGGTGCCAGGACGCGGTGGCAGGGCAACCTTTTTTTGTTGTAATTTGTCTTAATCGTATATTATAGCCGTCGTGTAAGTTTCTTCCTTTTCTGTGTCCTTTTTTCCAATAAACTTTCGCTGGCATTCTCACTTGCTACAGTGAAACACACTTTTGACTACCACTTCTACTGAGCTGTGTAACATTCGTCTACATCTGTCACTACTACTGGTCGCTCGGAAATTCCGCCACACCAGAAGAGAAAAACCGTTCCAGTTACTCCTCGTACTCCACCTACTCCATCTACTTCGCCACAGAGCCGTAGCACGGGCGCACTTCTCCCTGGACAAGAAAAAGTTTGCGTTCCCTCCGCTCCAAAAACATTCACAGCCGCGAAAGCCACAGCAGCATACACTTGATATTATCTGTCACTTCTGTCAGGATAATAACTACAACGCAGCTGCACTGAAGTCAACGGTCTCACGGATCGCGCCAAGAAACGAAAAGCTGTATTCACTGGCCATTCTTTTTCTGAAGGCGCACTCAACAGGCTGTTGCAAGCGTACAATTCCGTCGTCGTTCAGGTTCTGTCTATGTTTCTTGTGAGCATCATCCAGGTGACCAATGAGCTACTTTCTCATTGGTCCACTTGTGGCAAAATTCTTCGCGGTCGTGTACGTTTCCTACAAAAAATTACCATCGTCCCCATTGAACGAGGGTAAGAAGACGCCACAGGCTATTTCAATCAACAGGGACATTGGCTGCTTTCATAGTCCGCCGGCGTGCGGGCGGAGGTAGTGCTAGGGGGGGNGGGGGGGAGGGAGGCAGACGGTCGGTCGACGCGGTCGCGTCGCACTTAAGCCCTGAAGAGCCACCTGAAAACAAAGAAAAACAAGATCAAAAACCACTCGCATTTGCCCTTTGAAGGGGCTTATGCAAATGGTTTCTGGTCTTGTTTTTCTTTGTTTTCGGTCCTTCGAAAGGGGTTGGGCGCGGCGCGACTGCAACAAACGACCGCCTGCCTATCTCCTCCTCCTAGCACCACCTCGGCCGGCACGCCGGCGGACTATGAAAGCAGCCATTTGATTCTCTGGTTTGATGGGTGTAGCAAACAACAATCAGGCTGCTAGTTCCGGCCAACGATGTGGTCGACACCAGCACCACCGTACAGTTAGTTGGAGCCATGGTCACCTTTTGTCCCTACGGGTTTTTCTTCTCTTCTAATTTTAACATGTGTTTATTCGATGCATACTCAAGCTTTACTTGCCTTGGCCGGGTCATGTATTTTCACATATTTTAGTGTTCTCGCGATGATCGGGAGGATATGGTCTTCTTTTGTCCCTCCCTTTCTTTTGTCATTTTTTCGTCGGTCGCAGGCCGCATTTCGCCCCTAGAGTGTCGTGACTCGCGCACGACCTTCACGCGGGCTCGGAGCATGCTGCGGGAGGGGGTCTCGCTTCATCTCCCCTTACAATCGGTCCTACCGCGAAACGGCGAAAGGAGGCGCGAGGAAGCAGGCAAAAGCTGCTTATCCCATTTCAGTCTCGGGTCTAGTTAGCCATTCGTATGTGGTCGCCCGGACCGGCAGTTGGTGGGTCGTCGCATGCTCTCCTCTGCTCGTCAAATGAGCATTATCCGCAACCGTCGATCATCTCATCTCATTTCACCTCCTCCTCATATCTCGTCTCAACTCCTCGCAGGTTAGTGTCAGTGTAGCCGTTTCATTCAGCCGTAAATTCAGTAGAATGTATTGCGTAATAGACTCCCTTTGCGTAACTCCTTTACTTATTTGCCCTTATCAATTGAAGTGGTTTCATGTAATATCCGCACGTCATGAAGTTAGTGCCCTATCCCTGTTATATAACCAAGCGAGCGGGTTTATTCCAAAAGGCACCGCGAATACTTCGCCGTCAGGACGAGGGGCAGGCCCTTCCTTGCCCGCAGCAGAATCGTCCTAGTATATCATTCTTCTGCGCGAGGTGTCCCCTTAGGGGTGTGTGGGGGTACCCTAATTCCCACTTAGCGGGATTCGAGAACACCGATGTAAGCAGCAGAAGGCGCCTCGCCACAACGCCATCCAAAGGGAAGGGTGTGGCACCGCCGGTTCGGCGAGCGTTCCCTTCTTGAAATGTAGGTTTGAACCGAATAATTAAAAAAACCATCTCGAGCGGTTCTGACCCAAAAAAATCAAAGAAAAGCTGAATAATTTAAAAAAAAANNNAAAAAAAAACTATCGCAAGAGGTTCTGACCTAGAAAAACGAAAAAAATTATTCCTGAGATAAGGTAGACCTTCATACGGGAAGGATTGCCCCTAGGTCCCTAGAATATACTGCTTGAAGATACAAGGCATGGCTGCAATCATCTCTTTTCCTGAATGATGTCAGTGTATAAAAGAGAGTATTGCGGGAAGAGCAATTATTCCGGAAAAGGCGATAAAACAAAAAGTACTGATTCTGTACCTTCCATTTTTAGTTCTTCCTGCATTATCGCGCACTTCGAAACATGTGGTAGCGTCATCCATACATATAGAATGTTCACTGCAAAATAAATTCATGGCATAATGAACATGGCAAACACAACAAATGCCCTCATTTCTCTTTTTATTTACATTCTCATCATGCTTTAATTCTTCGAGAAGACACAATTCATCTTCTCCAAACGCATTATCATTAGCTGCATTACGTGTTGTCTGGCTACGATGCAGGTAAGCAGGGCCCAGTAAAGGTATCATATAGTGCCTCTCTTCTTCGATCCTGGCTTTGGGAAAGACCAAGAGACAAAGTTACAAATTTGCTGCTTGCAAAGCTATATTAAGGGCAGAATATTGTTAATGACTTTTGGTGTCAATTGCTGAAAGGTGTCGTTTCAGCATCGTAGAATATTACAGGGTTGGCCATAAAGCGACAAGGTTCTCACCTTATATTTCAGAAAGCAAAAATGCAAACGAGTCATGAACATAACATTTATGGTGAAAATGTAGTGGGGGGGCCACCCATCCGAAGGTCAGTACATCAAGAAATGAACTCATTCTAACGTGTTAGTCCTTGTTATATCAGCACTGTATCGGATGTGTNAAAAAAAATAAAGAAAACTTGCCCACCGCGGTTCTCCTCCCCTACAAAAGCCCTTATTTAAAAACTGGCATGTCCGTGATATAAAACGACATAACGCGTTTCATTGACGTCATTTCTTGATATACTGACTTTCGGATGGGTGGCCCCCCCAACTACATTTTCACCACATTTATTAAGTAACAACTGGTACATTAACAATCACAAGTTACTTCTCGATTCGGCCACCTTCGGCGCGAACGACAGCGCGGAATCGCCTGGGAAAGGCGTCGATGACCGGGTGCAGGAGTCAGCAGTGCGTCGTCGATTTCGTCCCATTCTCGGATTAGCGCTGCCTTCAGAGAATCCAAATTTGGGTGGGGAGTAGCGCAGGCCTTGCTCCCAAGGTAGGACCACAATTTATAGTCCAGTGGGTTCAAATCCGGTGAAGATACCGGCCGTTCTTCTGCCGAGATGAAGTCGGGGAGTTCGCTCCTGCACCACACCTAAACGACCTTGGCCTTGTGAGCGGGCGTCGAATCTTGATGGAATGTCCACGGGCGCCCGTTAAAGTGGGAATTCGCTCACGGGAGCAGAGCGCCTTCCAGAATCGTCTTCAGGTAGTAATCTTTGTCGAATTTGAAGTCGGGGTCGACGAATATCAATGGCGTCTTCCCCGAGGCACATATCCCTGCCCAAACAGTGAATTGGACAGGTTGTGCGGCCCGGTGAACGACTCTTCCCTTCTTGTCGGCTTCCTTGGCATTCCTTGCGATCACTCTGACGTTCTGAGCGATGAACTGCTGCTCGACGGTGTAGAGCTTCTTATCCGAAGAGACGATCGAATGCTGGCCCTTGTTGCCCGTCCGAAGCAAAAGCTGTCGGCACTTCTTGACTCGAGCCTGCTGCGCTGAGGATAGCAGCCTTCTGGGTACGGTAGGGATACATCTTAAGGTCTTCGTGAACGACCCTTTCCATTAACTTCCGCGAGATTCCCCATGCCTCGAGCCTTCGTCGAGTTGCTCCTAATCGCGTTTCTTGCTATCCGCTTTCTGACGACCTCGACGATCTTCGGCGTAAGAACAGTACGAGGTCTTCCACTTCTGCGGCGGTTTTGGAGTCCACCAAGGTGTCATAACGTTGGAATGTGCGATACACGACGCTGCGGTATATGTCGAGGTGCTTAGCGATCGTGGCGGGTGGGCGGCCGGCTTTGTACAGACGAACGATAGCGGAACGATCAGGAGAATGCTTCACCATTTCACTATGAATAGACCAAATTTAACCAAATTCTAACAGGAGTTAGAAAAAATGATGGGATTGAAAAATCCATAGAACTGGCGCTCTATGTGCGCGATAGAACGTACGCTAATTGCAGCAATTCATGTCGCTATAATTATGGCCAACCCTGTACAATGCTGTAGTTAACAGTCCACCACTTCTACAGAATCACGGTCTGACAACAGTAAGGCAGAAGTTCCAGCTGTAGCTGCTATCGGCGACAACAGTCTTTCCGACAATGCACTATCAATCTTTGACCTCGGCCCCGCTCCGACTCAGTAAGTCAAAGAGTATCGTAGGGAAAATCCTAGGTTTCCTGCAAACTTTGCACGATGGATTGTATATAGAACGCAGACTACGAGAAAAACAATTGGTACACAAAGTGTAGCAAGGTCAAGTCTACCAGTCATACTTTTTCCTCTTCCGTTTTTGAAACAGCAAGACCCTAGCGTAGCGGTAGATATCAGATTCCGCTTTTTTGCAACTTCGACATACTTTATTGAGTCAACAATAACAAAAACGAAAACAAAAGAAGGCAGCACTGCTAGTAATTGTTACTTGGCCGTATGATCCAGTAGGCAACGCTTGAGCGATAATAAATAACACACGTAGGCGAAACATTCATATGCGACTTGTTTCGTTTCGCAACCAGCAATCGTATCAAAATATCGGTTGACGATGAAGGGAAAGTTGTGGTACTGCCTCGGAAAACCGGATCACGCAGTGCAATAAGCAATTCCGGCGGCTAAATAGGGTGTGGGTTGAGGCAGTGCGATTTGCGCAACCAGATAATAAGCAGGGTAGTGGTTCTACGAACAGAATTTCATGGCTGCTTAACCTGCTCTTAGTACAGCTGCTTCAGTGTGTTCCCGCACACCTCATCAATACTAATATGTCCCTCGAACGGTTGCGGGAAGCCAGTCTCAGACCCAATCACGACACGGGATATATCGATGTTACATCCCGTTCCCATCCCACGGCGTGCTAGTCATAGCCTATATGCCCAAGATAAAAAGCCGTTACCGGATCGCCAGCCTATTGTATTCTCCCGCCACATAGAAGATGTTTCTTCGTTTGTTCAAGGGAAGAAGAAACGGACACGTGTTATGCTCTGCATGACAGACAAACAGAAAACATTGAACTCACAAGAGAAGAGCCGAAACAGAATTGGCCTTCTTCCCTTAATATACAGATTCAGCTTGATTGGGGTTTCTGCCATACCGAATGATATCGAAAACCCATTAACAAGAACATGCTCTAATAGTATACTTTAATTTGGCTCAACCATTCAAAACAAAGCGGGCTATCACAAGTATCATGTAAGACGCACAGCTTGGTCTCATTCCAAAGGCAGGAGGAGGCGTACTTTTTGGAGCTCGCAAGAAAGATAACACTCTCCGACGATTACCCTCCTGAAGTCAAGTACGGAGAATTTGAAAAGAAACAACATGGCCACACGATCGATTCTTCGGAGAGAATAAAGTTTTGGATCCCCTTCATATGTGATGCTATGAGCTCTGCCATAAGGGCGGCGCTGGAGTTTCGCGCAGCTTCGCGCTGCACAGGTAAGGCTTAAAATTCATGGTGTGTGTGATCGAGATTCTACGGGAAAACCTGAAGCAGCGACTGGTTCAAAACCGTTGCTACGATTGGGCTTGCCTTACTTCCCATTGTGATCTGCCCTAATAAACAGGAGGGTGATTGCATAACGCTTGACAAGATCTGCCTGATCACATGGAAGCTATGTGGGGATGTATATACTGAGGAGACTGGGCGACACCTGTGCGCTAGGCTCTAGGAACGCCTCGAGTGCTTGAATCGAGCAAGGCCGGAATTCCCCTTGGCTGCTCATCATGAAGATTCTGTTGCGAGAACCTCTCTTTTCGGCGCGGAAGACACTTGAAGCATTCTTCATCATGTCTTGGTAACAAAAATGAATAGGAAGATTAGTGTCTAGCCATAGCGACCTTGCACCTTTTTCTGACCTCTGTGGATTTTACTTGCACCCGGTATCACGCCAAGAAGCAGAGAACATATCATATAAAGCCGCCCCAAGTCCCTGTGGGTCAGTTTAGCGGTGGTCGACAACAAGACCGGATGGATCGAAAGGCTCGTGATTGTCATGCCTATTTAGAACCAGTGCGTCAAGGAAACTGTTTTTCAGAGTTTTTTTNNTTTTTTTATCATTTTGGCCACAGGTTTTGTCAAAAGTCTCAGTCTAGACCGCGTTCAGCAGCTCATAGTGGATGGGACCGCCCCAAGGAACGAGGCGATGCTTGCATCACTTCGGATTCTGCTATCTCTTGCGGTGGAGCGGTTAAGCCAGTTGTTTACCGTTCATCGGCGAACAGTGCTGTCAGCGGTAGGTCAATGATGATTTCAGCCGCTACACTTGCGCTTTTCCTTTGACGTGCCCACTAAAAGGTGAATTTACGAATCTGGTGTTGTCCAATTGTTTACGTTAAAGTTTCAAGAACCAACATACGTGCCTTTGTTCACTTATGTGTTGATCACCCGGAGAATGTCCTTGCTATCGTGTTCCCATTGTTTATACAAACATTTGTCCTTTTTGTCGCAGAAATTTCTTGCCAAGTTTATACATGCCACATGCAATCACTTCACTTACAGCACCCTGTATCTTCCATATTTCCAGAGAAACTGTCGCACTACATCGAGTTCAGAAATCTTCTCGGATGCGGAAAAAGTTTCGCTCTCACTAGACCCATTACCATGCACGTAAAAGTAGATGGCTGCCTGGAATCAGTCAATAAGTTGACGTCTCCCTGTCTTCACTTAGTTATTTCTTAACTGCTGTTATTTCGCACAGTACGCTGTGCGAGAAATTCACAAGTTTGACGGGTAATGGACAGGCCCCACCCTCGGGCGGGACTCAGACCCGGACGTTCTTTTCAATTCGTGCACTGTACTATTATTCCTTACACTAGCGGAACCCACCGTGCTCGTTACCAAAAAAAACCATTAAGAAGACAAGAACAAGCGAGATATCGGTAAAGTTAAGAAGAAGAAGTAGCCGTTTTTGTGCCCGCAAAGGATAAATATGGGTCCTAGTCTGGTCCAGGCTCAAACATTTGTGTATAGCACGTCAACTCCGATAAATGCTCGCCCGTCAGATTTTGCAGCTGCATTATATCGATTGTGACGGTAAATATCAGTAATTTCTTACTTCACGACTAATGTTCCCGAAACCAGCTGTCGCGATCTGCCCTTTTTTTCTGCTCTACAGGAATATCTGGATATTCCCAATCTGGCTAAGATGTGCGGATCCACGCAAACATCTCATATCTCATCTGTATTATGTAGTGTACTCACATTTAGATCAAGCAGTCAAGCAGCTAACACTTCAACCCTGGCGCGCGACAGAGCCAAGTGCATTGTCCAAGCGACAGTGTACTTACCATTATTATTCTCGTTTTGATGTGTTTATTTATCCTCACCTCAAGCAGTGTACGTGGGCAACTGGTGAGTTTTGTGAAAACCGCTCCTGAGAAAGGAGCCAGTGTCGTTTGCTGACTCTTTTTGTGACCACAAGGATAACATGTTGAGTAATCTTAGGGTGAAATATGAGCCCCCAAATCCGACGGACACACCCAAGCCGGACGAGCGTTTAGCGTTGTGAAAGCTGTAGCGCCGCACCACTCGCACCGGGACCCACACCTTGCACGCAGCCAGCATATTGCAGGTTGCTGTATGAAATGGCGCGCGCATTCAAACAACTCGTCAAAATACCCCTTCCATGCAGCTTTTTTTAGAAACCTTATACTTCTCCAACTCCTTCGTTTTTCGTCACTTTTGCACTATTCCGAACCATCATTTCCATTACTCGCTTAAAACTATATATAACATAATAAATATCTACCAGTCGGGCTGCCCGGCTAACGCCGGACTTCTTTCCTTCTTATGGTGTCGCCCGGCTTCGCCGGGCGCTCCTCCTTCCTGTAAGAAACTTGCTATGCGTAAATAACTCTTCGAACTCTCCTTTTTCTTCGGAGGCTCTACACCCTCAGTGTCAGCTCCGAATGGGGAGCGATTTTTTCTGTATTATAATCAAAGTCGGAATGCCCGGCTTCCGCCGGGCATTCTTTTTTTATGTAAAGCCGGTTCGCCCGGCTAACGCCGGGCTTCCCTTCTTCTTTGACAGAGTTGTAGTAATGGGCTCTCCACCCCTTCTTCGAAGCAAATAATATTCTCTTGTACACGAAGTTTGACACAGGACCAACACGGTATCGGTATTCAGTGAAAGTCGGTACTTATTTCTTTAATTGGGAGTCTCGATCTTTCGCACTCGTTCTTGATGATAAATACCCAATAAAGATTGAACTATTAGGTATCCAAAGCCTTGGGCGGTACTTACAAATATTTCGTATGATGATTACACCATTATCAGATGTCAACAATGAACCTTTTACTTCACAGAGATAACATTAGTTAAGAGTTCCAAATAACTGGCGGTCGGTTAATCTTGTCTCAAATGATATCGAACAATGAGGATCCTTCATCAACTCACAAACTTTGCTGTGTAGCGGTCGTAACCTAACAGCAAGTGATGAACAAAATTCTAATCTGCTTATCGCAAAGTCGCTAATGGATCCCTATAACTGCACTTACCACTCCTTCTGTCACCCTACTCAAAGCATCTCATCTTATCGAATGAAGCANGCGTTAGGATTTCGATTAGCAGGTGGCACTTGCACTTAGGCCCCTTATCTTCTTTTATCAGTTATTACCGGTTCTTGTCACCGAGTACCCAGGATCCCGTCATATACTACACCACTTATTAAAGAGCCGAGGTTCCACTGTTAACACGAAAAGCTGTAATCCTACCATATTGAACTCTCTGGGTCCACAGAAACAGAAGCTACGAATTTTCGCGCAAATGTTTAGTGTGAACTAACCCGCCTCCTGTAGATTGAGTCTGGTCCTGCCACCTGCCATGAGTGTTCCCATACTTGTCCCCGTAT